TCCATTCAAAATTTAATGTTAATTTTGTTAAAAAAATGAAAGTTTAGGTATTAAAACATACTAAAACTAAAGTTTAGGTACTAAACGCGTTAAGTTTTTAATGGTTGGATATTAAAACGAAACAAAAACTAATAGTATCTAAACTTTTGATTTTTTTCAAAATCAACCTAAAGTTTAATTTTTAATTTATTTTAGTACTCCATTCAAAATTTAATGTTAATTTTTTAAAAAAAATGAAAGTTTAGGTATTAAAACATACTAAAACTAATAGTTTGGGTACTAAACCGTTAAGTTTTTAACGACTGAATATTAAAACGAAACAAAAACTAAACGTTAGGGATGATTTTGAAAAATTGAAAATTAAATTACTAAAATGGACTAAAAGTGATAATTTGGATACTAAATGAATAGCTTACCCTATTATCAACTATATACATAATTAAATGACCTAAGATCTTCACTCCTCGTTCAATAAACGCTTATCCAAAATCATATGCCGCCAATCAATCAAATGATGAGAAAAATATTTCAATTTTCATTCTTTTCTATTGATAAAGATTTTAATCTCTACAATTTCAGAACAATTTTTTTTAAATATATACTTTTTTTTTTGGTTTAGATTTCTCTTACATGGATTATCATTTCACCATGGGAAACACCTGAGCCGAATGTAACGTACTTGGATCCCAGATGCGGGAAAAGCAGCTGGTCGTGTAGCTTGAGGAAACTGTTTAGTCCCATCATCAATTTGCAGTCCATCACCGGCTGAATTTTTCTTCTTCCCAAATTTTAACAATTCCTCTTTATATTGAGGAGATGCCGGATGTGCAGGTCCCCCCATGCTACCATCTATGATTTCTGTTCTATCGTTTGCGATTTTCGAGTCTGTAGGTGTCTCGGGGGTAATATATCCGCTCCCTCATTAACCGCTACATGTTCTCGGGATGCCTGCAGAGTAGAAATCTTTACATTCATCTTCACAAACAGTAACTATAATCCAATCAATCAATGTAATGACTAATGAGTCTTACATCTAACACACGGCCCATTCGAAGTTGTTGAGCAGCAGCTTCGAATGCAGCAGCATTCTACATAGAATGATGTCTGATGGTAACAACTGCACCGATATTTTGCTCCACATATGGGTGTTTAGATTTTAACAATCGACGTAACTTGCTGGCTGTTACAGGCATCTGCTTGGCTTTTAGCAGTGAGAGTTTAACACCAACTAAGAACTTGAGTAAAAAATAGTAAAATCTGATGTACCAGGAAAAAAGGCAAGAATTATACTGGAAACTGACAAAAACTTGAATAATTTCCTACCAATTTCAAGAAGTACTTTATTTGGCAAAATGTAACCAGTGCTTTCATCCTTGGCACGGGCAATATAGTCTCGCCATTCGCAAAGGCCTGTGAGCCATCTAAGCGAGACATATAAGCAGAAGAAGGGGATATCAGCAATCTATCTAATTTTGACAGTAGGGTTTGTGCACATCAAATGTGTATCAAAATTGAAACTGAACATTTCTCGTGGTTTATTAATTATCGATGTGTTGTTTTTAAAAGTAAATTGTGAGTTAGATATAAAAAGAACAAAAACTCACGGCAACAGTAGCTAGCTGTGCAGCACTGAAACCAGCCCCCTGCAACCTATATCGAATAGCAGAATAAATGTAAAGATTCAGTTTGAGTTTGCATCAGTGATGAAAATTAGACCGGCTAGTTATTTCTCTGGTCCAGTATGCAACCAATGAAATGGCATGAAACCAGTTCAACCGGAAAATCCAACTTTTGGTGTTTTGTAATTTATTTTTGTGACAACATTGGGTTTATTCATTGGTTTGCGTGACAACTAAACATTCAAGCAACCATGTATTGTGTAGTCTAAGCAGGTAACAAACCCATATATATGGAGATATGAATTCTCCATCAGCAGCTCTTTCTCATACAGTTGCATGCATACATCAGAACTTCGCTTGTAGACCTGCTAGCATGAAATTAGCTAGTAAGATAAGTCCAACTAAATAGCACAAAGCAACGAAGTATGCAAAAGTCATACAACCATGTAAGCGTATTTGAAAAGGTGAACAACAAAGCTCCAAAGTGCGAAGAAAAAGGCAATTTTTAAAGAATTTCAACAAGATAATGTTTTAGGTTATATGTTGAAGCTTGAACAAACTAGAATGTAAAAAGCCAGAGGAATTGGAAAGGAACAGAACCTCTGTTACTCAGAGTGGTGTAAATACTGGATGAAGATGTCTCTGATATGATATCTTCATTTTTTTCTGTTCAAGTTGCTCCATGTATTTGAATGATCCAACACATAGATACGAGGATATAACCTCCAAGAATCCTCCAAATACATGGAAAACTTAAGGGAAGTCTAGGAACAATATCTGTGTCAAATACAGTCTTGGTAGCATTGCTCCGAGAGTCGTATCCCCATAGCCATGTCCATATAAGTGTCAGACATGGGTGTCGGATATGGGTACTTCAAGATAATTGAAGAGTCAGATTAACATAGAACGAAACTCTTACAATGTGCCTAACATTAAGACTATGGGAACCTCTTAGTTTCTTTTCTTCTAGATGGGAGACTTCTATATGAAATGCCATGGTCAACGTAGAAAATGCTATGAATCATGATTTATAGAATCGTACCTCTACCAAAGGAGAATCAAAATGTTCAGGTTCCTTGGGAGTCAACAGCAATTTGGTTCTCATTAAATCATAAATATATAGCAAATAATGAGCGTCTTCTCTAGCATATCTGTCGTAAAAAAAATGATACGAAGAAACAATTAGTTCACATAAAATTGTTCAATGGAGACAACAGGTGAACCTAAAAATGACACGAAGTTGGCCAGGAAAGAATAAAGATATCATACTCCGCAGGAAAAAATAAAGACATGTTACACTTCGCATGAAATTGTTAGATAGAGACAACTTAACAGGTGAACCTAAAATGAACCGAAGTTTGTCATCTAAACTAGACGTTCACAATTAGTAGGTGAGACAATTACATTTATTTTCTCTTGCTAGAAAACAAAGTGATCAACGACAATCAATCATTTACCTTAACGACAGAGCAAATGCAGCGGTTAGACACAACTAATGACAGGGGCAACTGAAGGGTGAAACAGAGAAGACAAAAGATAAGCATCCAAAAAAAATGTTACCTAAACATTTCATCAGGAAGGGGGCGCAACCTCCAATCTGCATTCTGGTACCTGCAAAGAGATGACTAACAAGCGTGAATGGGGTAGACTCAATTGATGGGGGGTTTTATGGGCTGAATATCCGCTATATTTTTATCCACGAAATAGATAATAGAGAGTTTATCCTGTAAAAAAGAGCCAATAAAATATATATATTTTTAAAATATCTCTGAATTTGGCAAGCAAAAAAATACAGGATAAGTAGCCTTTTTTTTGGTCAAAAAGACAGCCAATTTAGAACCTATTGTTGAATGCAATGGGATGTATGTGAACGACAGATATACAACAAGTGCAGAAGTGAATATTTTATCACATCAATAGATTTTGTTACCAAGGTAGCTAGCTATTAAGAACATGATAACATTCTTAAAAGCAATTGCAGCTTTCCCATCATCAAGCTACTATATCCAAAGTTTTATCACCATTTGCACCAATGAAGAAGGTTAACTTATCTAAAAGAATGCCTTCCAACAAACCAATGAACATCACAAACACAATCACCTCAATGGTCCATTTTAACAAGAATAGTTTTCCTTCTTTTTCAACTGTGCAATGTCCCTTAACTTCAGAAATGTTTAAAAAAAGGTACATCAAACAATAAGAAACCAACCATTGGACGAACGAAACGCAACCCATCCTCACTCTTCTGCAACCAGACATGTACAAAAGGCTGATTCGAATTGTTCACAAGAATATTATACTCCTCCTGCGGCTTCCGTATCGTAGGTATATGGAATGGAACTTTCGCTTTCCCTGTCGTCACCGCTGCCAATGCCCCATATTCTGTCAGCAAGAGTTTATGATTCCCGCGTGTCCTGATTAAAATCCTCGACACTCGAGCCTTTTTTTTTATGATAAAATCTAGGTTTAAGTATAAAATATACCTATTACACTAATAGGTGACTACAATATTTTTCGATCTATCCAGGTTTGTAATGTTACAAACGTTATTTATTTAGGTGTTCGATCTATCAATGACGTTAATTTTCGCGTTAAATGACACGTGTCACAATATGATGATTTTAAAATTTTTGTATAAAATTAAAAAAATAAAATTATATATATTTTAAAAATAAAACACAAAAATCGAAATAAACCCAAAACTTTAAAAATCTTCATTTCAACCCTTAAAACCACGCCAGCCACCACCCTTTCCCGTCGACGAAGCTCCACCTGACCTTACCTTCCCCCGGTGATCAAAACCCCTATGAAATCGTGGTTGATCGACGACCGATCAACGACGAATCGATGTTTTATACCCCTCGAACTCTAGGTTGAAAATCACAATCTCGCGCGATTCCTACATCCAATCGACAACAAATATGGTGGCATATGACTAGGAGGATGATAGAGACAACGTCGACTGCGGTGGTCGTGGCCGGAAAGGATGGCAGCAGTGGATTAAGAGTAGGATTTGGGGGCTATTTTATAATTTAAGAGAAATTTAGTTTTTCTATAAATATAAATAATATTTTTAATATTTTAAAAAAATAAATTTTAAATTACCAAATTATGACACATGTCACTTACGGGGAAATTAACATCGTTGATAGCCCGGACCCCTAAATGGATAACGTGTGTAACGTCAGATATCAGAATAGACCGAAAAATACTATAGACACCTATTCATGAAAATAGGTATAATTTAGACACTTATTTTATACTTAAGCCTAAAATCTAAAACTCTCAACAACAACAACAACAATAAAATATGTACTTTATTATTACTATTATCGTTTTTCATAATAAAATTTAAAGTCATAAAGTAATAACAAATAAAGATTCAGTTAAAATAATAAATCGATAAAAAAACAACAACAACAATAAAGGAAGATGCATGGTTCACTTTAGGTAGATATTATAGAAATTTCTAGTCCAAGATCTCATACTTGTTCCCATTAGACATAAGTTGATAAAGAAAAGAAAAGAAAATAAAGAAATAAAGAGAAAGAGACAAAAGAAATACTATTGTTTAATACTTTTCCTTTGTAAACTACATGAATATTTACTTATGGGGTAAGTTTTATTTACATATTTGATGTAAAAAATATTAGACGACCCTTATTCCCTTATATAATGGGGTAAGCGGGAGGTAGGATAGTAGGCTGCTCCCAACGCCAGATTGAGAGCAGTTTTTGTAGGAGACCTCCAAATTATGATATGTCCTCCGTGGGACTCGATCCCACGACCCCAAAGTTAAGAGTCTTGTACTCTACCAACTGAGTTGGATAATATTTCCATATTTGAAGTAAACCTTTTATTAATTGGATTATCTAATTATTTTAATAGTATTAATAAAAGCGAATCTAGGACATGTGAAACGGGATTTTGGAGCTCTAACTGCTAAGTTAAATTCACCACTTAATTAAAGGTTGACAATTAAGGAGAATGCTTAATCACCAAGTCAAGTAATATTTGATTAAGACTGACTACAAAGGGTGACATTACATTTTAAATTAACGAGTAATATTTTATTTATTTATTTTTATTAAAACTAAAATTTATTTTTGATACTTTTTAATATTTCTATGGTGAAATTAAATGAGATATTACACATACCAACAACCCTAAATAATGAACTAAAATTTATTGACTAACTTAAGATTTCTATATCATCTTAAAAAACTATCATATTAGACATTAAAATATTATAGATTATAAATAAAACTTTCTTTTTTATCCATATAAATAAAACTTTAAATTAGTGCATATCGTTCATTATATTAATTAATTTAAAATTAATGTAAAGTATAGTAATGGTCACTGAACTTTTTTAAATTTTCATTTAGGTCCCCCAACTTTTAAAACTTGCAATAAAATCCCCCAATATTTAGTCCGTTTGCAATATGATCCCCCAATATTTAGTCCGTTTGCAATATGGTCCCCAACGTAACTGTTGGGGGACCATATTGAAAACGGACTAAATATTGGGAGACTGTATTGCAAGTTTGAAAAGTTAGAGGAACCTAAATGAAATATTTAGAAAAGTTCAGTGACCATTACTATATTTTACCCTAAAATTAATATAGATAGTAGGATGGTTGGTTCCTATTCGACTTGGGCTTTGCACCAATTTGTTCAAATTCAATTAATTGATCCAACCGAGATAACTGTTTAGTAATTTAAGTATAATTTTTATTTTACTTCATGATTTACCATATAACATGTATTTTGCGACACCGACCTCATAGGTTCAGAAAAAATATAAAATTAATTATATAATCAGGGTGAAGCACACACTTAAAAAAATCATATAATATCAATTATAGTATATAGGCGGTGAAGCGATGATGATTATAATATAATTTTGAATGTAAATGGGCATGCATCGAGTAAGGATATGGGTTTTCTTAATCTCATGACTCATTGGTATGAAGGGAGATATGGTGACTGTAAACACAATGACCTAACTTATTGCCCTTTGCTTCATCTTTATCCCAAAGGGCAAGCATGTAAACTAGATGTATGATCTCATGGAAGAGATATACTTTGATATGAACGTCGTGTTAATAACGACGTGAAAACGAATTACGTTGATATTCATAAATTAAATTAAGTTAAATAAATAAATGTTAAGCGAGACATTAAAAGAATATGTTTGATTTTGAAAAATAAGATAACAAAGAAAGGGGAAAAGATGACGTGAAACATGAATTTTTTAATCACAGGTAAGGATAAGACTGTGTTGAAAGTAAATTAAATATTATAATGACTATATTACAAGTTTTAAAAATTTAATGGCTAAAAATAAAATCACCTTATAATTTTAGTGACTATTTCAGAGTTTACCCACTTCTTGTTTTAAGAAAAAAGTAGAGTTAAGATCCGATCGGAGAAAGAAAGGCTCCAAGCGTAATTAATGCTCCTGCATGAATAAAAGTAAAAGGTCGGTGTGTTTTCATTTTCTTTTATCACCCACGTCGGTGTGTTTTCACAAATCGCATTGCCACTAAAATGGTCACGGCAACAGGATAACAGCCCCTCTAATATATGTCGGCAAGCGATTACTGACTTTACACGTGTCGAGTCGACGAGCGATCAACGTGTATCTTTCTCATAGGGGATAAGTCCAAAGTCACGGTTCAAGGTAAAGCAGGTATGCGTATAAATTCTAAAGTCAAGTGGGCCAATCGAGATGGGAGGATTTTTATTCGCTTAGGTGGGAACAGTAAGATTGAGATATATATAATCAATTTGATATCATAATGACACGTGTCATATCACGTCATTTTCTGTCAAATTAAAAGCCATGTCAGAGATTGCCCTCCTATTCGTTTATGTCGAAATGGCAGCATAACATAAATCAAGATCATACAAACACCAATAATCAAAGCATAATTTACCCATTTAACCGATAATAATACGTGGCAAACGACAAACTCAAAACACGTTCGATACGTAAAAGGGTATTACTGTAATTTGATCTGTAGACGCGGATAATCTTGAATAATGAAGAGATAATTAAAAGATTCTAGAGCCACTGACAAAGTGAACCCCAACTTGGCACCTTATTTTGCCTATAAGTAGAAACCGAAATCTTCAAAAAAATTCTCACTCAAATTCAAAACAATCAAATATCGAAGGAAAAAAAGAAAGAAGACCCAAAAATGTCGGGAATCATGAACAAGATCGGTGAGGCCCTCCACGTGGGAGGTGATCACAAGAAAGAGGAGGAGAAGCACAAGGGAGAGGCTCATCATGATGCCGGCCACGGCCACGGCGAGCACAAGGGAGACGCCGCTCACGGCCACGACAAGGGCGAGCACAAGGAAGGCATAATTGAGAAGATCAAGGACAAGATCCACGGCGATGGAAGTAAGGAACACGGTCACGATGGCGAGAAGGAGAAGAAGAAGAAGAAGGAGAAGAAGAAGCACGAAGATGGCCACGAAAGCAGCAGCAGCAGTGATAGTGATTAGATCCCCACCATCACCGTCACGGTATTCCTCTCCCTTATTTTTTTTTCATTTGAAAAATTAAATTTTTATATTATATGGTTTGGTTTGTTAATCATTTTTTAAGAACTAATCGTCTGATGTAAATTTGTTTATCGTGTGTGTTGCAGGTGCATGGGATGAATGTGAAGGCTTGTCAAGATATTTGTATTTGCTATGCATTTGACTTTGTGGGGGAAAAATAAGTCTTGTTTTATGCTTTATTATTGTATTGGTATTGTGTGATGTATTTTGGCAGCCTTTGAATGAAATATGATAATATGAGAATAAAGTTTTCGTTTCACTAAAGCTCCAAATATTGCAAGTATGGATTGGGCGGTCCATTCATTTTTCATTGACTTTCTCTTACTGTACATGTTCCCGAAAGAGGCGGCCCAACAGCCTACTAAGAGGGTGAAGATATCGTCCGGCCCTAAGCTATCTTATTTAATTTTTATTTCATTTTAATATCTTACCGTTAAAAATTTAACACCTAAATTATCTGATTTGATCTATTTTAATACTTAAATTTTTATTTTTTTTCAAAAAATAACATAAATTTTGAATAGGAATATTAGAATGAAACAAAAAATAAACTTTGAGTATGATTTTAAAAAAACAAAAATTTAAATAATAAAACATATTAAAATTAATAGTTTAGGTATTAAATGTGTAATTTATCCTAATATTTTTTACCATTAAGACTACTAAATAGGTATAATTATATTAATTATAATAATTATAAGAAGTATAATGATAATAATTAGAGTTAGAATAATTCTTTTAAAGCATGCTAATCAATTTGTAGTGTGAGAAAATTATAATTTTACTTTAGAGATTGAAATAAAAGTAAAAATTCTAAGGGGGGCAGGCGTATAATTTCACCTTTTAAAAAGATTTAAATAATAGAAGACACCTAATATATTTACTTAACAATTTTTAATATGAATGGTTAACAATGACTTCTTCGTATATAATATAATAGTCAATTTTTAATTTAATAAGGTGGATTTTAGGGTAATATTTTTATTTTATGAACCATTTCACCTAAAATGTAACGTAATACACACCTGCTCCGTTGTCTAAGTAATTAAATAATGTTGACATAGTTTTATATCAAGTAAGAAATTTCAAACAAGGGAAAAGAAAATTAACTCACCTTAATCCCATTTATCTTCTCTCAATCCAAACAAAACGCTATATTTTAAAATATAATTTTTATTTATTTAATATCACTAAAATATAATTAATTAAAATAATTATAATTTCATTAATTCATAAACTTTGTATACGAATTTTATTCATCGTTAACCCAAATACAAACCCAATATAATGCACTAATAACTCTATTATTTGTCTTAAGTTTGTTGTCGATCGTTGTTGTTTTTTATTTATATTTCCTCCTCTCCATGATTTAATTATATTTTTGTTTTTTATTTTATCAGACTTCGTATAAAAATGATAACGATCTTATGTGTTTTTGTTGTATGTTACTTGTTTACTCTTATAACATGTATTTTCTTTTTTTTCTCAACATTGAATTCGATGTTATCTCTTCAAATTCATATTATATATTCTTTTATTATGATAATTTAGCCGTACTTTGATTCTCATGTAATGTCACCCGTACCACCTGCCCTGTCTAAGTACATCCCTATAATACGGTTAATCCCGCCCTGTCTAAGTACATCCCTATAATACGATTAATCTTATATTATCCTTCAATTTATGGATGTGGTAGAATCTTTATAATTTAAGTATTATGTCAAAAATTATCACCAAAGTGATCAATTTTTTTGAGTTGTCCTCTCGATTTTCATTACTTCACCCGACTAATTTGAATTGACTCATGTCACACATTTGATTTTGGTGGATGAGTCTTTTAACATAGATTTTTTACATACACAAAAACTCAAACTCAAAACATTTTTAAATAATATCAAGTTGTTCGCCATTTAAACCAAACCATTAACCACCGAACTATATCTTTACAAAACATAATTTACTAAAAACTAAAGTATATTTTAATCTAATGCAAAATAAATAATTTTTCAAGGATCTACATGTAAGAATTCTATTGCCTATAAACATTTTATAACCAAAGGAAAATTTTAAGGAGAATAATTCTTCCTTACCACCGAGTTCCTCAATAAATTCAAGATAAATTTTTTAATTTGTATATGTATTGTACGCAATTTATGAATTTTGTGCTTATATTATATTTTGAAAATTTACTCTTTATATATAAATATATAATTTAAAATTTTAATAAATTCAAATTGTATGTGAAAATATGATTAAATTTTAATGGTTTATAATAATAAAATTAAAAAATAAGAACTAAATCTATAATTTATAAATAACATATAAATATTAATAAAATTCGATTTAACAAAATTAATGAGCATAAAATTTAACATTCTCCAACTGTGACTTAGGAGTTATACAACCGGAAGTGCCGAACAGAACCAAGTCTTCCGTTGTTTTTAACACCCCCATTTGTCATTCTCTTATTAAAGCCGGCCATTGTCCACCTTCCCTTTAAGTTCTTCATCGCACCCTATTTCTTCATTTCCTTTCTTCATGCTTCTTTCAGAGTTTTTCTCCATCCTCCTTCAAAACCCACCAACAAGAACATCTTAACTTTTAATTTGAAGCATACAGGAAAGATCAAACAATAGAAAGTGTTCATTCAAAGACATGGATAGGCTCATTAGTTTGGAACCTTCAAACCTTGTTGTGGTTCGTATTGAGCATGGCCAGAAATGTTACGGCGAGCTTACTTTACGCAACGTTATGTACACCATGCCGGTGGCTTTCCGGTTGCAGCCGATGAACAAGGGCCGGTACACCGTCAAGACTCAGTCGGGAATCATAGCACCTCTTGGGACGTTAACGCTGGAAATTGTTTATCACGTTCCTTCGGGTTCGGTTCTCCCGGAATCGTTCCCTTTCACTGACGATTCATTCCTCCTCCACAGCGTGGTGGTTACCCGGCGCGGCGATCAAATACTCAACGTCGGGTTCCGATACGGTTCCGAATGACTGGTTCACCACGATGAAGAAGCAGGTGTTCATCGACAGTGGTATTAAGATCATGTTTGTTGGGTCTCCGGTTTTGGTTCAACTTGTGATGGATGGTTCCATGAATGAACTCCGTGAGGTTTTTGAACGTAGCGACCCAACATGGAAGCCAGCTGATTCAGTTGACTCCCAAGGTCAAAGCTTGCTTCATATCGCCATTGCTCAGAGTAGACCGGATATTGTTCAAATATTACTTGAATTCGAGCCGGATATAGAGTTTCAAAGCCGGTCTGGTTCGACCCCACTTGAGGCTGCTTCCGGTTGCGGAGAAGAACTGATTGTTGAGCTTCTTTTGGCTCACAAGGCTAGCCCAGACCGATCCGAGTCGTCGAGTCGGGGTCCAATTCACTTAGCCACCATCGATGGCTACTTTGAGGTTCTGAGGCTTCTTTTGCTCAAGGGGGCTAACATTGATGCCCTCACAAAAGACGGTAACACCGCGTTGCACCTCGCGGTCAAGAATAGAAGAAGAGATTGCACCCGCTTGCTATTAGCTAACAGTGCCGACACCGGTATTCGGAACACCCGAGACGGCGATACGGCATTACACATCGCGGCCAAATTGGGCGACGAGCAGATGGTGAAGTTGTTACTTCAAAAGGGAGTGAACAAAGATATCCGGAACAAGGCAGGGAAAACTGCGTACGATCTTGCTGCGGGACATGGTCATGTTAGACTGTTCGATGCACTTAAGCTTGGCGACAACTTTTGTTTAGCTGCTCGAAAAGGTGACGTGAGGGCCATCCAGAGGCTGATCGAAAATGGGGCGGCGATCGACGGGAGAGATCAACATGGATGGACCGCGTTACATCAAGCATCGTTCAAAGGACGAACGGACACCGTAAAGATGCTAATCGATAAAGGGATCGATATCAATTCGAGAGACGAAGACGGATACACGGCTTTGCATTGTGCGGTTGAATCAGGCCATGCTGAAGTTGTTGAATTGTTGGTAAAGAAGGGCGCCGATGTGGAATCAAGGACCAACAAAGGTGTTACACCCTTGCAAATTGCGGATTCATTACATTATGCAGGCATCAGCAGGATACTGATCTACGGCGGTGCGACGACAACCAGCGGCATGCCACGAGTCGCCACTGGGCAGGTTCCAGCTCCATTCGAAGACGGGAAAATCGGGGCAGAGGCTGCGCCAATGAAGCGGAGACTGTCAAAGCCGAGAGCCGTGCTAGGTAGCTTCGATAGATCATTGCCATTAGCAGTCATATAGATAACTTGATGATCATTTATCTTAGAGAGCTTAAATTGATTCATTTTGGTGAAGAATTTTCAGAACTCATTACTCAGAAATGTTCAATCCATAACCTGAATTTATACATAAAATCAATGTGAATTTCAAAAGGGAAATCGACTGAAATTGTTGACAAATTGCTTGTAAAATGCTCAGCAGTGGCATCTGAAATTTACGTGCTGATCGGAAAAGGATTTCCTGATGTAAATTCTAGCAATAAAATTGTATTTTTCTATGATCACAAAGGATTAAGGAATAAATGAAAGATTTGTCTTGTATATCTCTCGCCAATGTGCACTAGTATTGAAATTCCACGGGATATCTAACGTTTCATTATGTGACGGACCATTAAATTTGACCGTTAACCCATAAAAATGTCACCTTACACGTTTTTTAAGGTAAATTATATACATAGTCCCCTAAATTTTTAGGGTACTTTTATTTTGATCACCCCCGTTAACCTCCTCCTCCATTATTATTATTTTAAGCCCCATTCACTGTAATATTTTGCTCCGAAATCCTTCAACAATAATCAAAATTACGTTCCTTCAACACTCAAATTTTGTTGTTTTTCTTTTTCTTTTCATCGATTTTAAGTGTACAAAGATAAGTATACTTCAATACTCCGAATGCAAACCCCCTCAAGGATTCTTGGCGTAATCTTGATTTGGGATCGGTGAATCGGTTGCCAGAATCTGATGGAAGTAAAGAAAACCAGAGTCCCCTTTTGGTAAATTCTCCAGTTTCTTTCAAATCCACCGCTTCACTTGTTAAGCCTTGTTCCAAGAAAGTTACCGGAAACCCCAAAGAGCCATTTTCAATGAAATTGAAGGGTGGGGTTTGCAGGGAAGAAGACAAGAAGCGTGATGA